TAAAATTAGCTCAGAGAACCCTAAAGCCCAGGAATACACCAGGCTTATCTATCACTGTATTCTACATCTTAACTCAATAAATATTGGTAAATAATAAATAAATAAATGTGAGACAGGCTGAGCCTCTTCTAGGTGCATGGGAATGCCCTTTAGTTACTTCTTCAGCCTCTCCATACATCAATTGGAGTGAATCAGTGCCAACCCATGGTGCGGATCTGAAGAGCAAAGAAATCCACTCTGCACCTGCAATGAAGAAACCAGCGCTATATAAGCCAGACCCCAGCAGCAGTTCGGGGAGCTATACTCTCTGTCAGTTTGTACTTCCCTTGATGCATCAAGCTCCCTCCCTCTCCCTTTTCCTCTCACCCTGTTTTTAGTAAACCTCTTTTCTTATGAGTCTGTTTCACCTTCTCTCTTGATTTTTATCCTGGGGGTGGGGAGCAAGAATCCCTTTGCAAGTGAGAAATGATCAAAATAAAAATACTCCCTGAAATGGCTACACTGAAAAGAAAGGGTTGAAGGGCTCTTACTCTTTTTTAAGGTCAGGTAACCACTGGATTTTATAAAGGATAAACAGTCTTTTCTCTGCAAAAAAATCACTGTATGCACATTTAAAACATAAACACAGTTTTCCCTAAAATAATGTAAGGTTTGGAGTTCACTGTTATCTGTCTATATCGTGGTTCCATGAACTCTGTTTTTGTAAAACATAATTTAATCTGTGGCAGGAACAAAGGGGTCTGAATAATTTATGGTATGATTAGAAATCATATCATAAACTGTTACACTTTATGTAGTCTATAACATTTATTGTACTTCAACGGATGGTTTAAAACTTGGACTCTATATAGGTACAAAACACCCAATTATCTAGTGTCTTTATTTTTTCAATAATATTTATGGTAATTAAGACTAAATTTAAAATCCGAATGATTGTCCAGGAAATTTTAGCAAGTTTCATAGAGATTTTTAGCTACAAAATAATCATATCTTATGTATATTTATAATCAACTTTTCAATAAACACTTAGAAAAAAAGTGTGGAATGATCCAATAAACAAAACCTACTCATTGATCAAAACACACCTCATTCCTATTATTTCCCTTACATCTTGCTCAGCTTATTTTTTCTTATCTTTTGCATTCTATGGTTTATTGCTTAATTTTGATTTTGAAATTTTAGCTATATCTGATAGCTGACTCTTTTCATATGCAAAACTGAAAGTGTGTCTCATTGCCAGGTTTGTACTCACATAATTTTATCTACATACTAGTGGCTGTTAACTGCTATGGAAATGACTTCAGAGAGAATGCACTTTTATTCACATCCCAAAGACTTAAAATAAGATGATTATATAAAGCTGGATGACCCTTTGGGTGTCTATACAATACCCCAGCAGCTGGCGCCCCTTGGGTTTACATTTCATTTACATCAAAGGAACATCAGAACACATAATAATGTTCTCTGGAGTAGACAGTTACCCTTTGATAAGTGCATGTGTGATGTGTCCTGAAGCTCCCTGGTCTAATGTCCCTGGCCATTATAAATATAACTTAGGATGACAATGTGGTTTTCTGTAAGGAAAATTATATTGGAACAGTATAGAAGTAATTCAAAATTACATTAGGATATAATGTTTTCCATGAAAACTGTTAAGTGCTTCAGAGTGGCCTTTCTCCAAGTAGAAGTGCTATTTCCGTAACTCTGATTTACTATGTAACAACATACCTTGATCTACTCATTGTTCAGTTTACTTTTGCTTATTTCTCTGTTACAGCATCAACTTACAAATACTCCCAGAAAGATACACACTTCAGACTTTCGATATGTTGAAGGAAATTTAGGAGCGAGTTGTATCAGGATAATAACTTTCAGTTGCTCTTCTTTTTTCTTCAGGAAGGGACTATTTAATTAGCAAAACAGACAACTGACTTATATGGTTGATTTTGGCTGTTAAGGATAAGGACAAAAGCCTATATGAGATATCTACATAATAGGGCATTTATTTAAATAACTGTTTTTTTGTTCCCTTGTCTAACAATGGGTCAGTTTCTGGGAAGGGTTTGAGCTGGCAGTTACACTGTTGATAAAGCTAACAATACCCATGAGTTGGTGATGAACTCTTGCCCTGTGATAGCCTCAGCATACACATCTTATTGCCTCATCAAACGTATAGTGACCCAGCTGGCTTTCATCACTTGAATAGTGCTCCTTTACAATCAACAAGACAGTTTTCAGCCAGAAAGCAATCAGTGGTTTTTCTAACAACAGCAAAAGGCAAAAGGAGAACATTCTATTGTTTCACTAATTGCTATAAATCAGGAACATTCCTGTGTCCTAGCAGGATATACAAAAAAAAAATACACACTGATGCCCAGCCTCGCTCCCCAAGGGATGGTCTCTGCATTGTGGAACATGGCCCTGTGCAATCCAGTGACCTCACACTTACTAGATTTCTTTGAAACAGAACATTTCATCTATAAATATGAAAATGATGATGCAGTTATTTCTGATCTTAAGTTATGAAAAAGAGAAAGGAAATAATTACAAATTTCAGAGCAGACACTAAAGGGTTTTTGTTAATGTTTTTCTCCTCAGCTGTGGGAGATGTTCCTCCTTCCATTTCTGATTTTGATGTGGTAAGAGAAGCAATGAGAAGCTGGAATAGGGATATTAGTTGGCTTCTGCTCTTTGTGTGTCCTCCTCTTTTCCTCACGCTTACATCCATGGACGCTATATTCACATCTATCTTTTTATTCTTAGAGAGAGAGGAAGGAAGGGAGAAAGAGAGGGACAGAAACATCAATGTTGGTTGCCTCTCATATGCCCCATACTGGGGACCTTGCCTGCAACCCAAGCATGTGCCCTGACTGGGAAATGAACCAGCAACCCTTTGGTTCGAAGGCTGGAGCTCAATCCACTGAGCCACACTAGCTAGGGCTTATATTCACATCTCTTTAGATATGGTCTTGGTCAACCATATTTGTGATTCAAGTTTTTCTCTTTTTACTTTTTCTTAAATAAAAGTCATAAATACATTGACGAAGTACTTTCAGACCCCTTTTTTGGGTTTTCTACTGAAATCCAGATGATACTTATTTGAAATAATATTCAGTGTTAGGCTCTTAAGCTGTTTTCTAACTCATAGTTTGGTTTCTATTATATCCGCCCCATAGTATCCATATTGCCCAATCTCTAACAAGCTTCCTGAAGTCCTTTTTGGCAAAGGAGGTAGGTTCTCATCTTCAATGCATCTCACAAATCTAACTGGACTTAGGAGTTTATTTTCTTTCCTTTCCCTCCACCTCCCACTAGTTCACTCAGGCTCTTAAAGACAAACTTTGAATGTGATTAATGATGGCAGAGATTAGGAACATAAAGTTCAAGCGCTGAATTGTTTATTTGTTTAAGAGAGTTGTTTTCTGGCCGTTTCTTGCTGCAGCCACATGCTCACTTAAGAGCCTTATTCTGTTGTCGGCTGGAAGGATACTTTCCAAGAGAGTGCTTATTCTAAAGAGAGGCAGGGGAGAAATTCACTTTTCTAAGTAATTCTTTTCCATCTTTCAGATAATTCTCCTTTCATCCTTCAGGGATGGGAAGTGCATATTTTGTGAGGTTTATATCAATTTCAGTAAGTCTTCCAGAGGCTGAAATCTGACTGCTAGGTGAAAACATGTAATTGGATCAGTGGGGGTTCTTTCAATGAAGCTAAAAGTGAATGCTTATCACACCACAAGATGTATTTGAAAAGGAAAGCCCTTAGAGCACTAAGGGTTTACATTCAAATTTCGTGTCTTAGTGGACACCTCATCCCCCAGATCAGAATTATGTAGTTCCCCCCAAAAGACCTGTTGCAATTCTCAAGAAAGAGATTTCAGGTTAGTAGGTCGAAGCTGTAATTTTCTCACAAAAGAAAAACATGACTTTCTCTAGGAGTGACTCACCAAATGCCACTTGTTTTTTGACATAAACCATGCAGCCACATTTCTAAGGCCCCAAGTTAAAGTTGGGAAAGACTGCACAGTGGGAAAGGCCAAACAGGTATACTAGCATTTCTTTCTGGATGTGGGACCTTTGTGCTAGGGTAACACACATTTCATTGTGGTCCTAGAAGGCAGAGAAGTTCCATTGTTTCAGCTAGATTTCCAGGCTGGAGTGGGCTCAGGTCACTACCTAAATTATGTACTTAGCTTCTGTATAAATAGACCTCATGTAATATGTGTTTGGAGTGAATATATCAAAATTTGAAATGAAAAGGATTTCATTTGAAGTTTCTTTCAGTTCACTACTATCATTTGCCTCATTCTCAGCTATGTCTTAGTTGACAATGTAGAATGGAATATTACCTATAGGGTGCTAAGTGGCTGACCTGGGGAACAAGCATAACTGTCTAATTCAGAAGTCTCCTTGATTACGAGGGGCAGTTCCTATAAAGAGCACCTCTGCACTTTATTACTTCCCTGTCATATTACGGCAACAGTTTCAGGGGGAAGGGAATAACATTCTCTACATTATTTTAATTTTTTCTTTTACGTTCAACATGAAACATATATTAGCTTTTGTTTTGCCTTTGCAAAGTGATCCTTTCTGTTTGTTTTCATTGAAAATGTGTTTCAGCTGGGTATAAAGTGATTCCTCTTCATGTCACCTTTCCCTTGAGAAGAGGGACTATGGAATTATACAATTATTTATTTACTCAGGCAACTGTAAATCTTTATTCTTCTCCTATGTCTTCCATAATTCATGCTGACAACTGCAGGAGAAAAAATGCAACTTTTAACATTAAATTTCTGAGTTTTTGTCCTAAACTTAAAAGTTGTAGGATTGTTATTTCTCATGGGTCGATTGCCAAGTAGTTATTTTAAATGATAGCATTTGCTTCCTGTTTTCAAGTGTTATCTGAAATCAACTACTCAAATATAGACTGGTTCAAAACATAGTGCTTAAATTAGACTTCACATGGGTCACAGTGACAGTTCTGTCCCAGGAAAGGTGTCATGGATCATTCAGGCAATGCAGCTGCCCTGACTGCAGTAGGTCCCAAGCACATACAAACATCCCTGCCGACAACCACAGATCCCAGCTGTACTTCAAGTTTGTGTCACTACTCCATGGCTCTGAAACCTGCAGGCTGCTTCCATCTGGTGAGGTCTGGGGTATTTCTGGAAGGTGGGTGATTTCCATACTTCCTTTATACTGTTGTCTTGCCCTGGTACAAAAAAAAGAAGGGAAATGGATATTTCTCCTGCATGTTTCTTTTGGTATAATCTGTTTGGACTGCAGGTATCTATGAGAATTTCCTTCATGCTGGATTTTCTGTAGAGCCACCCAATTGTATTACTGTATTTCATTTGCAGTGGCCAGGGCACATTTTGTTTTCATTAAGAGTGTCCTCACATACCAGTCTCAGTAATTGCTTCAAATATAATAGCAGAATGTATTTGTTGTGCTGAAAATGCCAGAGATTTGGGGTAAAAAGAAGCAGTGATACAAAGTGGATACTTGAGTGTATGGTTCTGTGAGCAATAATGAGTAGATGAAATTGTTGTATATTAAGTTCTCAATAGCCAAATAATGAAATACCATCCAGGTAGCTTTCCTTTGTTCAACAACGAGACATTAATGTGATAGTGACATTAATGATGTGCTCATTACTACAGGCAGTTAGTTTCCTTTTACTTGATCACAGAGCTGTGGGTCTTATGCTTGCCACAGTGTCAGCATACAGACCTCACTGATGATCGACTAGCATTACTAAAGTCTGTGAGCAGATGGAAATTCATGTACCATGGGTGAATCTGGCTGCTTCTTGTTGAATCAGTCCGGAAGCTCTGATGCTTTACTTCAAGGATGCTGCATGCTGTAGACTCTTCATATAAGATACCACCTTCCCTCCCATCACTGAAGTTAGGTGCTCAGCAGACGAATGTGCTTACTGATACCTTTTATGTTTTATAGTGATGGCATGTTCGCTGAGTCATTTTGCTTGAGTTAGCTACATGTTATCCAATTGGATGCCTTACTCTAGAAGAATGTTTGCGGAATAAGTCAGCCAGTATTCCTACGTACATTCCATGTGACTGCGTGTTGTAATGATGAGCCATCAACACTGGGGGATCTCATCTGACTTTGAGAGATGATATTTGGTTGAATGTTAGTGTGGTCATGTCTGGCAGCCCACCAGTCATGCCCCTTGGCTGTGAAAGGATTTGATGAGTCAGCTCAATGGTGCAAACTTCACTTGTTACCATGATCTTGAAATCTAGCAATGATATTTTTGGGTACAAAATTTTGATTCAAATTCCAGATTTATTTCTGGCTGAAGGTCTTAAGTCATGAGGCTACCACCAATACACTTGCACCAATATTCTGAGGGCTGGGCCCCAAAGCTGCCTGCAGGCTTTATGAGTTACAGAAGCACTGCTCTGTATTCCCGCCTATAGATGTGAATGTCCAGTGACCCAAGTCGTGATGAGGAGCTGCCTTCTACCACATATCTTTCCAGAAGGAAGATGCATTTCCTGTTTTTTGTGTTCCTACCTGCAGGCCATACGTGCTGTTACACAGATCAATATAGCTCAGCATGACTTTGTGCCCAGACATACAATTGCTGGGAGGTTTGCATAGAAGAGTTAGGAAATCCTTGTCATTACTCATCATTATTAAGCAATCAATTTCCCTGGAAACCTACTTATGTTGGAACAGATAAGCTGACAGCACTCTGAGTAGCTTTTCACTGATGTGCACTGTCCAGGCCCTTGTTTACTTAGGACCTGCCTAACGGTCAATAACTGTCAGACCCAGTGGATCCATAGGTTGTCTCCAACACAGCAGTTAGTTCTCCCTCAGGTAAATCACTGAAAAAAAATAGTTAAAAGAAAAAAACTAAAGGATGACCAACTCTGAGAGCCAAAAGTGGGAAAAGAAGTTTGTGCATTGTAGAGCACTGTAGTTGTGCAAAGCTTAGTGGGAGAGGCTTTGTGGCTTGGCCCCGGGGGCTGGCTTTCTTCTAACAGATAGAGGTGGAGAGCAATTAGAGTCTGAAAGTATAAGCAAGCCAATCTATTGTGTTTATACAGAGAGGTTCCCCTGAAGTGAGGCAAAAACAGAGACACAAGTAATGAGTACATGTGTTTGGAAGAAGTATAAGTTACTTATAAATATTATAGCGGCGTCGCTATAGTTAAAGGTCTGGCAGCATTTCCATTATAAACTCTCATTGTCAGGGGTTTAAAACTCTGCTGTAAAAATTCCAGGCTGCAACTTGGCATCCCAGGATATGCCTGGGAACAAAGCATTTATCCTTTGTTAGACCTCCTGCAGGTTTCTCATGGCCTTTCCCTTTAACCCTGCTTATGTCTCTGCCCCTGTAATTCTGTTTGCATCTACAAGTGGAGCAAAATGGCAGCTCTAGAACCCATCCGGCCCAGTGAATTCCCTTGATGGGAAGAGGGAGCTTCTGCTGGGAAGCACTCACGTAATTTCATTGATCTCTTTATAGGACATGAAGTTTTATTTGTATAACATGCTTTCTCAATTGTAAGTGGCTCCTGTGATCACAATGACTAAGGGCCAGATGGCACTGGACATGCAAATAAAGTTGTGAAAACACAATGAAATTAAAAATGCTAATATCTGAGAGTTAAACATTTTGTGTAGCTAGCTTCTTTAGGGTCCATCAGTGATTTGTAAGGAAATCTCTGCAAGGCTGCTGTCCTAAGAGACTATGCTCACCAAGGAAAGCCCTATGCTTTATATTTGATTCATAAAGTGAACAGTTTAAACGAAACTGTCCAGCCAATTTGACACAGGGTTACATGAACATAATTAATATACTGTTAAAGAGTTTTCTGGAGTTAATCTGCAAACAATCTTAGGCTAACAAAATAACTTTTGAGAGAAAAATTTTGTTTTCTCTCATTACATGTTAGCAGCATGTAGGGAATTTAACCAATAAATGCTCTGTCTCTGGTGAGCATTAGCTTAAACTGAATACAAATCTGACAAAAAGGATCACATTCGTCTGTCTCCAGTGACCAGCAGTTAGATGCTGTGCTCGTGTCTCGCCGCAGGTGATGTGGGTGGACTGCTGCACTTAGGGGCAGTGCATCTGGACTTGGCCAATGGTGAGCTTTCCATTCCAGTCTCATCTGGTCCTAGCAATTTCTGCTCTTTTATCGTTGCATTATCCCCATTTGTTATATTCCTGAAGCAGCTACAAATAAATACCTTTTTCTGCAGTACCAGACTGACAGGAGCTGTGTCACCAGAGACATCTTGAATAGTTAGAGGAAAAATGGTTTTTAAAACAATATGTCAGGAGGCTTAACTGAATATGTGCCAAGAAGTTTGTAGATTCCAGAACTTGCAAATTGAAAAAGAGAAGGAAAAGACCACAATAAGTTGAGGGCCATGGCAAGTCTGGATAGATGCTTTGTTGGGGAGCTGAGCATTTCTTCCAATAATTTATTGACCATCGAAGGTAGTCAAAAGCAAGTATGAAACTTAAGAAAAAACATTTTTTTCAGTTTTTGTTCATGAGCTTGTATTTGATCTTATTTTCATCTTTATCCCAGGACATAGCCATTGATTTGATATTTTTTATTAGAGAGAGAAAGGAGAAGAGTGGGAGAGTGAGGGAGAGAAGCATGAAAGCATGGACTGGCTACCTCCTTCACATGACCTGACTGGGAACTGAACCCATAAGCCAGGTGTGTGTGCCAGCTGGAATCAAACCTACAGCACTCTGCTTCACAGGTCAGTGCTCCAACCAACCAAGCCACACCAGTCAGGGGTGTATTTAATCCTAAACTCATGTTACTCTCTGAATCACCATATCATTTCTAAACTGGTAAAATCAATCTTTATCAAAAGGAGCATTACTAGCAATTGCCATTTGCTGTTTACTCCATTTTGTCAAAACGAGAGCTTAACTGATATATATTAGACTGACTTAACTACATTAAAAAAGTCACTGTTAAAACAGACACATCAATCTTAGTTGAGCCCATGGTATAAAAAAGTAAGAACAAAAAGTAAAACTACTTGAGTTACAGTGACACAGCTTGGATTTTCAAGCTTATTCTCAAATGCCTTGGCTTTAGGTTAGATCCTAGGATATAGAGACTGAGGACTGGAGATTCTGATTTAACTTCAGATTTATCTTTCTCTGATTGGCATGGGTGCGGGGCATATAAACTGGGCTGAATCCAAAACATCAGTATTAAACATCAAAGTTGCTCTGGAATAGTGTGGAATAGTCATATAAAGTAGAATATTTTAAAAGGAAATTAATGATTGAAACATGCTTCTAATCTAATCAGCACAATACTTTCTTGAACTATGAGTCACTGATTAATTGTATATTTTGCTTTGTTTTGGAGAAAAAGTGAAAAATCCATGGAGGTCTCAAGAGGCTTGCTGAGCTTCTTTTCCTTTTTTTCCTCTCTATTCTTTATTCCTTGTCTCATCAGTTCAAGGACCCCTAGGTGACAAGATGCATAAAAACATTTTAACTATTACTTACAAGTGAGAACAACAAGCACATAAAGGAGATGACAACCCCTTGCCAGGCTACATGGAGGGCTTTGGGTCTTGACAGTTTACACGTTGCCCTCTTCCACAGTGCTGTGGCCTTGGGACTTGAAGAGACCAAATAGTGTACGAAACCTAGACAAACCGCATTGATTTGAAGCACACAAATGGAAATATATGATTACTATGTTTATTTTACAATTAATAATTGGTTGAGACATTTGTTTCCCATTCTTAATGGCTTTTTTCAAGAGGGACATTTGAAATCTATTATTTCAACTTTAAGCTTTGCAAATTTATATCAGCTCCTTCCTGGCTGCCAGTAATAACTTTTCTCTCACGTTAAACAAACACACACATACACATTACTCAGCAGAGCAGCCATAAACCATATATAGTTCTTTTTATAATCCAAACTATTAACATAACTTTTCAAAACTACCTGCACTGTTTTTTTTCTTTCATTGAAGTTGCTAATTAAAACTGTTTTACTTCAGTCATTTTTTCTTCCTAGCTGAACTTAGTCCTGAAGTGCCCCAGGACCTCAGGCCATCAATAGTGGGGACGATCCACTTAGGGACATTTTAAAATAATTTTCATACTTCTTTTTTCATGGTAGTCAAGTTGGGGATAGGTGAGGGAGTTTTATCACAGTGTAGTTTTAGTTGTTCCATATGTGTTGATAGTCACCACTAATAATTTCACTCTTGCTGGGATTACATATGCTGAAGGAGAAAGTCTTCTTTCGTTCAAGTAGAACTGACTGCCTTCAGGACTACACAAGATTTTGTGCTTTCCATATAAGAGCTGAGAGGGTGAGGAGAGGGTGGGGCAGGACTTCAACACTTGACCTGAGGGGATTAGCCAGTGTCCAATTCCCACAGCGTTTTAAATTTAAACAGTCCTTACTTCTGCTATATATGTTAGCATTTTACTTTAATAAGAAATTGATCTATAATTCTGTAGTAAATCGGTGCTCTTGTTTCGGGAAGGTATGCCTTGCTTATCCTGAATCTTCACAAAGTTCCCAAGGGATGTATCGCCTGCTTGGGATGATGAAGGGCGAGCCTGGCTTGATAGGCACAGCTCCAGTGCAGTTCCTAGCTCCTTTTCATGAAACTGCTGTTACTGTTTCAGTGCAGTGTTGCCTGCCAGTGGCCCCTTAGCACCAAATGCAGTGCACAAGCCCTTGTACTAAGAAGCAGGACCTAGGAGAGCTAAGTTGATGGTTCCCTGTCCTGCATGTCCTGGAGGTAACTGTCTACCTATCTGCCCACATAATATGGTCACTCCCAGGTACTCAACTTTCCTCTGTCCTAGCAGTTACGCATGTCCTGGTGTTAACTGTACATCTGTCTCTCCACCTGACACAGGTACTCCTAGGTACTTGGCTATGTCTCCAGTAGTTATAAATCTCCTTGAGGTAAATTTTTTGCTGTTTGGCTTTATCATTGCAACATATAATACTTATTGGCAGTAATCCTGTTGCCCTTAATACCTTGTAGTCACTGTCATTTACATTATGCAATGCATATCTGTCACATAGGCAAGGAGAGAGACCTCTGGGCTGGAAATGATGGGAAGGGCTTCAGATGTTGTCAGTATTTGGGTCCGGGTACAGACCTGCCAGCAAAGGTTCAGGCATTCTTGCCCTGAGAAATCCTCATTCCCTTAGCTTCAGGCCCTGGCCACCAACCTGGACACGTGCTACAAGAAATGAAGGGGCACCTGGGCTGTGTTGTATACCTAGATGTTGTTTTTAAGTTTGTTAGGAGATTTAGAAATGGATCATGAACTTCATTTTGTTCTTTCTATGAACCCAGTGTTGGTGTTCATGGACCCAGGCCTAAAAAATGTAGGGGCTTGGTGGGTCCAGCTGCATCTCTGGAAAGAAATAATCCACACACTGCTGCATATAATTATAAAATAAATGCTGTATATTTCAGATATAAAATTTAAATAGCTTCTCTGTGAATGACAGATTGAATATTGCTAAAATACTGTGTTATAACATGAATATTTTTTTCTTTTTTTTAAATTTTTTTATTGATTATGCTGTTACAGTTGTTCTATTCCCCCTTTCATTCCCCTCCACCCTACCCCCCCATCCCCACCATTACCCGCCCTTTAGTTTATGTCCATGTGTCTCAAGTCCTTTAGATTCTATATTTCCCATGCTATTCTTGCCCCCCCCCTTCTATTTTCTATCTACTGTCTATGCTACTTATTTTCTATACCTTCTCCCCTCTTCTCCTCCTCCCACTCCCCTGTTGCTAACCCTCCTTGAGATCTTCATTTCTATGTTTCCACTCCTGATCTAGCTGTCCTTTTAGTTTGCTTTCGTTTTAGGTGTGGTTGTATATTTAATGAAGTAGTTATTTAATTCTCCCTTTATTTGTGAGGGGGGGGCAAATAATTTTTACAGGAGAAAACTGAGCTTTTTCTGTGTGAGAACAGTCTAATTGATCTCTTTACCAAGAATGGTACATGACATATAGTGGGTGCCCAATAAATTTTGTTAACCAAATAACACAATTTTTAAATCACGTTTTCATCCCTATGTACTATAAGAATTGAAATTTCTTTCCCTGGAAGTCTGCCTCTTTGTAATACTATAACTAAATATATTTCTCCAAATAAAATACTTATTTGTAAACTTCTTAGGCCCTGCCTAAAATAGAAATAAAGTATTAACTTTTAAGTATTATGAATAATATGTAAAAAGTAGAGACAATTACAGAAGAAAATCATAAAGTAATTTGAATATTGTAATTGGACATATATTAAACTAATTAGTTGTTTTAACCTAAAGAAGAAAAGACTAAGGTTACTTCCAGATGTATGGATGGCTGAATAATTTATAATTTTGCAGAACACAGACTAAAAGAAATAGAATAATTGATTAAAAATTTAAAAGATTGTTTAAAAATCTTGTAGATTTTTCAACATTGGAAATTAAAAACAATAAGATGTGCAATAGTTTTTCTTTACAGTGAAGTCTGCTGCAATGCTAGAATTTTAAGGTAGTTTTGCTTAAATATTTTTTCCAAGAGAAAAAAATATACAGTTTTCTTATGCTGGGGTCATGTGGGAGATCATAACTATTTGATGGTGTGAAGACATAATCATTGTTACATTACTTATGAAAAAGTACACTTTTCTTACAAAAATTATAAGAGATGGAAAATTGCCAAGTATCTTTTAACTGAGAAGGGAAGCTAATCCGCAAGGCTCACTTCCTTCCATTGCTGTTGTTTTCTATGGAAATAGAGAAAATCCTTCCCATACTGCCAATCCATTCTTGTCAGGGCAGGAGATGTTAATAGTCCAGGACAGAAAAAAGATGATGCACTATTTGTTGATTTCTCTTCCATCACCAGGGGCCAGAAGGAGGCCTTTGGCAACTAACAAGGAAATAGGAAATGGTCTGTGGTAAATATTCCCCTTCAATGACCTGTTCTGACAACAACACTATTGAGGTTTAAAATGAAGGAACTCAAATGAATAATGGGTGTGCTCTAAAATACTTTTAGTTTTTACAGGGAATGACATCAAGTAAATTTTTGTTTTCCTCACATTTAAGCAATTATAAAAATTAAAAACAAAATAACTATATTAACATAAACAAAAATCACCCACAATTTCAATATCCCATAAAATTTTCTGTTTAAAATTTTTCTTTAATATCAGATGTTAAATTTTGAAGACAAAAAATATGAAATAACTCAATATTGGGGAAAGATTGCATAAACAAGTGCTATTCAATATACGATGGATATGGAAGGTTTAGAATAAGATACAGCATCTTAGAAGTTAACATTAGCTTATGTGATTGTAATTTTAGGGTGCATATTATTTGGAGTCTGTGAGGAAGGTCAGCACAAAAGTAATAAAAAATAAAACAAATGTACAATATCTATCCTAATTTTTCTTTCATTGCAGTGTTCATGATCAGTAAATTACTAATTTACTTACTCAGGGTACAAAACCTTCCTAAGAGTCTTCACATTCCTATACTTATATTTAATATCCTTGTGTATTGGTATGCTTTTTTCTCTGTAACATATTATATCTTAAAGTAGTATTTATTGGCCATGGTACTTCTTTTCTGTATAATTTATATTTTTCACATGAAAAAAGCTCTTTGCCTTTTAAACATATCAGAAATATTAAAATATATTTATTATTTTATTGAATTTATTGGGGTGACATTGGTTTGCAAAACCATACCTGTTTCAAGTGCATAACTCGATAAAACATCCTCCGCACACTGCATCAGGCACCCATTACCCAAAGCAAAGTTTCTTTTCATTCCAATTTTCCCCTCTTTGACCACTTTCACCTACCCATCATTCCCCTCTGGCTATCACCACACTGTTGTCAGTGTCTATGTATTATATATATACATGTAAATGGTTTTTTCCTTACTTTTCACCTTCTTTGTTCTGGTCTCCAAACCGCCTTCACTGTCAACAAACAGCTGTCAGCCTGTTCCATGCGTCCATGCTTCAATTCTATTTTGTTTATCAGTTTAGTTTGTTCATTAGATTCCAATAAGAGTCTATGTGAGATTATATAATATTTGTCTTTCTCTGACTGGCAAATAGTAAGATTTCTTCTTCCATTTCTTTTCTTTTTTCTTTTCTTTCTTTCTGGCTGAGTAGCATTCCATTGTGTAAATGCACCACAGCTTTTTTATCCTCGTATTACTGTTGGGCCCTTGGGCTGTTTCCACATCTTAACTCTTGTAAATAATGCAGCAATGGACATAGGGGTGCATATATTCTTTTAAACTAGCATTTTGGATTTCTGAATATATTCTAAGAAATGGGATTGCTGGGTCGTAAGGCAGTCCCACTTTTAATTTTTTGAGGGAACTACACTCTTTTCCACAGTGGCTGTACCAATCTGCATTCTCACTAACAGTGTGTTGGGAACCACCCTGCCTGATTTCAGGAGCTATAAAACCCCATGGCAAGGCTGAGTGAATGACCTTCAGACTGTGAACCACTAAGGAGACAAAGCTTATCTCCCTGGCAGGAGTGCTGCTTCTGCTTCATCCATCTCTGGCCCCAGTGCTTGGCCGGTTAGTCAATAACAGGTAAGACCCCTCAGAGGGCAGGCAACCTAAGCCAGACATAATCACTTGGGAGGCCCTCAAGGAAGGACTTGAGGAGCTGCAGCAAAGAGGGGGTGATGAACCCTCACTCCCCAGATATTCTGACATAGCCTGAGTCCCCATTTCTGTCTGGGAGAAGCGCTTTCTGGCTCTAATCCACGTAAGCCTAAAAACCTATAATGGGGGAGACAGTGCAGCCCTTTGCTGGCTAGAGTAGGTTCTGGGGTGATCAGGCATAAGAAAGAGTTCCTAAAGTCCTGAGAAGCCTGCTCTGCTAAGAGTGCTTCCATTCATATGATAAGGGTCCAAGCAGGAAATGAGTATGTCTGCCAAAGTTTTTGCAACCCCCTTACCTGACAGACACTGACTCAGATTAAGCCCTCAGATTTCTTTGAAATGATATCTATTGTTTGATTCTTGCCACCTGATACTGACTGAGGAGCTTTACCTGTATTCCTGTGTGTTACAAACCTAATAAAAGCCATTGAGGAAGGGGCTCTTGGTCCTTCTCCTTTGAGAGATTGACCACCTCTCCTCCCCAGGCAGATCATGTCTTGGTAGTTTTATTTCCATCTGTGGCGGACTGGGGGACTTGCATGCAAAGTTTCCCCCACAACAGTGCACTAAGGTTCCCTTTTTTCCACAACCTCTCTAGCACTTGTTGTTTGTTGATTTATTGATGATGGTCATTCTGACAGTTGTGAGGTCCTTTCTCAATGTGGTTTTAAGTTGCATCTCTCTGATAATAAGGATGTTGAACATTTTTTATATGCTTATTGGTTATCTCTATGACTTCTTTTGAAAAGTGTCTGTTAAAGTCCTTTGCTCATTTTTTAATTGGGTCATCTGTCTTCCTGGCATTGAGTTGTATAAGTTCTTTATATATTTTGGAAATTGGCCTCTATCAGATGTATCATTGTCAAATATGTTCTCCCATACCATGGAGCCCCTTTTCATTTTGTTGATGGTTTCTGTTGCTATGCAAAAGCCTTGTATGTTGATGTAGTCCTCTGTGATTATTTTTCCTCTTGCCCCTTGCCTAAGAGATATATTGGCAAAAATATCACTACAAATGATATCTGACATTTTACTGTCTATATTTTTCTAAGATTTTTATGTAACTTATATGTAAGTCTCTTAACCATTTTGAGTTTATTCTTTGGTATGCTGTAAATTTGTGGTCTAATTTCATTTTTTTCATGTACCTGTCCAATTTTTCCAACACCATCTCAAAAGAGATTGTCTTTACTCAGTTGTATGCTTTTAATCTCCTTTGTCAAATATTAATTGACCATGTAGGCTTGGGCTGAATCTGGGCTCTCTGTTCTGTTCCATATCTATTCTAGTGCCAATACCTGGCTCTCATTGCAATGGCCTTGTAGTATTGTTTGTTATCAGGTAGCATGATACTTCCAATTTTGTTCTTCTTTGTCAAGATTACTGAGGAAACCTGGGGCCTTTTCTGGTTCTATATAAATTCTTGGATATTTGTTCTAGATATGTGAAATTTGCCATTGGTATTTTAATTTGAATTTCATTGAATCTATAGTTTCTGAATATTATTTTTATATCCTACTACTTCGATGAATTCATTTACTAGATCTAGTAGTTTTTTGGTGGAGTTGTTATGGCTTTCCATGTACAATATCATGTCATCTGTAAATAATGGCAGTTTACTTCCTCCTTTCTAATTTGGATGTACTTTATTTCTTTTTTTTTAAGCCCTTCTCCTCTTTATTTTAGCAATGGATTGTGGAAAATGAGAGAGTTTATCTTGACATGAAAATATTTCAACGCACAGCGATCTTGCCGGACGGGCTCATCAGCGTTTTCTGTACAACTGTTCCAGGAACTCGTATGCAACTGATCACCTCTTCCATCTGTTGAAAAGGTCAGAAAACAGCAGCAAACTGGGAGGGAAATGGCTTATCGCCAGAGCAATCATGTCTGAAGGTTTTCCAAGCGTATGGGTGTTTCCATCCTTCTGTCTCCATCTTCTTCCAGCAAAATGCAGGGTGTGTTGTACTTTATTTCTTAGTCTTGTCTGATGGCTGTGACTAGGATTTCTAGTACTACACTGAATAAGAGTGGTAAAAGCAAACATTCCTGTCTTGTTCCCAATCCTAAGGGAAATAATTTTTGTTTTTGTCCATCTAGTATGATGTTGGCTGTAGGCTTTTAATATATGACCATTACTATGTTGACATATGTTTCCTCTATTCCCACTTTGCTGAGAGTATTTGTCATAAATGGGTGCTGGATATTAACAAATGATTTTCTGCATCATTGATATGATCATGTAATTTGTATCCTTCATTTTGTTTCTGAAATGTATCATGTTTATTGATTGGCAAATATTGTATCAACCTTGTATGCCTTAAGTAAATCCCACTTGATCAATGTGTATGCCCTTTTTAATGTATTACTGGATCCGTTTTTGCTAATATTTTGTTTAGGATTTTAGCAGCCATGTTCACCAGGAATATTGTCCTATGATTTTCTTTTTTGTAATGTTTTTTATCTGGTTTTGGAATTAGGAAAATGCTGGCCTTGTAAAATGAGCTCTAAATCTTCCCTCCACTTGAATTTTTTGGAATAGTTTGAGAAGAATGGGTGTTATTTCTTTTTTGAATGTTTGGTAAAATTTGCCTCTGAAGTAATTTGGTCTAGGATTTTTGTTTGCTGAGAGTTTTCTGACTTCTGCTTCAATTTTATTACTTGTAATCAGTCTATTCAAGTTTATTGATTCTTCCTAATCCACTTTTGGAAAATCGTACATTTCTAGGACTTTATCTATTTTGCCCACATTGTCCAATGTGTTGGCATATTATTATTCATCATATTTTCTTACAATTCTTTGTGTTTCTGTGATGTCAGCTGTTACTTTTCATCTTTCATTTTTTTATTTCTTTATTTGGGTTTTCTCTCCTTTTAGATGGGTGCATTAATCTTTTGTTTGTTGTTGGTTTTTTGTCTCTATGTTATTTATTTCTTCTTCGATCTTTATTATTTCCTTCCTTCTACTCCCTCTGATCTTTTTTTTTTTTGCTGTTCTTTTTCTGTGTCTTTTATGTGTAGAATTGGATTGTTTACTAGAGATTTTTTTCTTCTTGACATAGGCCTGTAATGCTACAAACTTCCCTCTCAGGACTGCTTTTGCTGTGTCCTGTTGATTTTAGGTTGTTTTGTGCTTATTTTCATTTTTTCCTAGTAAATTTTTATTTCTTCTTTGATCTTATTGTTAATCTATTGGTTATTCAATAAAATGCTATTTAACTTCTATGTGTTTGAATGTTTTCCAGTTTTTTTTAAATTTGCAGTTAACTTCCAGTCATACCATTGTGTTCAAAGAATATTCTCATATAAATCAATCTTCTTAAATTTAATAAGACTTATTTTGTGTTCTAAAATGGGGTCTATCTTTGGGAATGTTCCATGTGCACTTAAGAGGAATGTATGTTCTGCTGCTTTCTGGGATTAAATATTTCATAAATATCAGTTAAATCCATCTGATCCAGGGTGTTGCTATTATCTTGTTGACTTTTTGTTTGGAAGATCTATCTATTGATGTCAATAGGGTGTTAAAATCCCCCACTATGACTATATTGCTGACAATCTCTCTTAATGTCCAAGACTTTGTATATTTATATGCTCCTGTATTGGTTTCATATAATTGGATTGATATTTTTAGTATTATGTCATGATCTGTGTCCTTTGTTTTGAACTCTATTTTTGTCTGATATATATTTTGATACCCAATTTTTTTGTTCCATGTGCATGGAATAGTTATTTTTCTATGCCTTCATTTCAGCCTGTGTCTACCTTTTGTTCTGGGGTGGATCTCTTGTAAACAGCCTATATATGGGTCATGTTTTCTTACCCATTCATCTACTCTATGTCTTTTGATTGGAGCATTTAATCTATTTACATTTAAGGTTATTATTGATAGATTTTAATTGTCATTTTATTGTTTATACCTGTGTTCCTCTCCATATATTTCTTTTTCTTTTTCTTTTCAAATGTTTCTTTAATATTTCTTGCAAGGCTGGTTTGGTAGTCATGAGCTCCTTTAACAGTTTTTGTTATTTTTATTTTGTTTGAGAAGCACTTTATTTCACCTTCCATCTTAAATGCTAAACTTGTTGAATAAAGTAGTCTAAGTTGTAGGTCCTTGCCTCCCATCACTTTGAATATTTCATGCCAATCTTTTCTTGCCTAAAGTGTTTCTGTTGACAAATCAGCTGACACACTTGTGGGAGCTCCTTGTAGGTATGTAATTGCTTTTCTTCTGCTGCTTCTGCTTTAAAGATTTCCTCTGTCTTTAACCTTTGCCATTTTAATCATGATGTATTTTGGTGTGGGCCTCTTTGGGTTCATCTTGATTGGGACTCTCTGTGATTCCGGAACTTGTGTAACTTTTTCCTTTACCAGGTTAGGGAAGTATTCAGTCCTAATGTTTTAAAGAATTTTATTTATTTATTTTTAGAGAGAGGAAAGAAGGAAGAAATATCAATTGGCTGCCTCTTGCATGCCCCTAACTGGGGACCTGGCCCTCAGCCCAGGCATGTATCTTGACTGAAAATTGAACTGGTGACCTTTTGACTTGGAGGACAATGCCCAACCCACTCAGACACACCAAACAGGGATCAGCTATTATTTCTTCAAACAGATTTTCTATTCCTTGCTTACACTGTTCTCCTTCTGGAACTCCTATGATGTGGATGTTATGTGTTTGATGTTGTCCCAGAGGTCCCTTAAATTTTCCTCATTTAAAAAAATTCCCTTTTCTTTTATTTTTCTCTTTTATTTTATTTTTTAAAATATATTTGATTGATTATGACATTACAGTTGTTCTATTCCCTCCTTCATTCCCCTCCACCCTGCACACCCCTCCCCCACCATTCCCCCCTTTAGTTTATGACCATGTGACTCAAGGTTTTTAGATTCTATATTTCCCATACTATTCTTGCCATCCCCCCATCTATTTTCTACCTACTGTCTATGCTACCTATTTTCTGTACCTTCTCCCCCCTTCTCCTTCTCCCACTCCCCTGTTGCTAACCCTCCATGTGATCTTCATTTCTATGGTTCTGCTCCTGATCTAGCTGTCCTCTTAGTTTGCTTTTGTTTTAGGTGTGGTTCTTAATAACTGTGAGTTTGCTGTCCTTTCACTGTTTATCTTTTTTATCTTCTTTTTTAAGGTGAGTCCCTTTAACATTTCATAAAGTAAGGGCTTGGTGATGATGAACTCCTTGAATTTGATCTTAACTGAGAAGCACTTTATCTATCCTTCCATTCTAAATGAAAACTTTGCTGGATAGATCAATCTTGGATGTAGGTCTTTGGATTTCATGACTTGGAATACTTCTTCCCAGCCCCTTCTTGCCTGTAAGGTCTCTTTTGAGAAATCTGCTGACAGTTTGATGGGAACTCCTTTGTAGGTGACTATCACCTTATCTCTTGCTGCTTCTAAGGCTCTGCTCCTCATACATAACAGGCACAAATAGAGAAAAACATTATTGCTCAAGAAGAACTCAAAGCCCCAGAGCCCATAACTCTAAGCAATGAAGAAATAGCAAAACTGTCAGATGCACAGTTCAAAACACTAGTGGTCAGGATGCTCACAGAACTGGTTGATTTTAGTCACAAATTAGAGGAACATATGAAGGCTAAACTAATTGAAATGAAGGGAAATGCACAGGAAACCAATAGTAATAGAAAGGAAACTGGGACTCAAATCAAGGGAGTGGACCAGAAGGAAGAAAAAAATGACCAAACAGAAAAGGATGAAGAAACAAGAATTCAAAAACATGAGGAGAGGCTTAGGGACCTCTAGGACATCTTTAAACGTTCCAACATCCGGATTATAGGGGGTCCCAGAAGGGGAAGAGGAACAGCCACGAGTGGAAAACTTATTTGAACAAATAATAAAGGAGAACTTCCCCAATCTGGCAAAGGCAATAGACTTCCAGGAAATCCAGGAAGCTCAGAGAGTCCCAAAGAAGTTGGACCCAAGAAGGAATACACCGAGGCACATCCCTTTTCTTTTAGATGCTCTGCTTGGGTCCTTACTGTTATCTTCTTTGAATTGCTAATTCGATCCTCTGCTTCATCTAACCTGCTGTTGATTCATTCTAGTGTATTCTTCATTTCAGCTTTTTCTTTATTTCTAACTGGACATTTTCATGGTTTATATATCCTTTTCAATTCTTGTCATCTCTTTGTTTAAGTTCTCACTGAGATCATCCATTGTTCTGCTAAGGTCCTTAAGCATCCTTAAAATTGTTGTTTTAAAATCTGCTTGTGTTGTTTTGGTTAGTTCTATTTCATTTAATTATTTTTCTGGGGATTACTCATTCTTCTTTTGGGGGCACTTTTCTTTGTCTCCCCGTTTTGTCTCTGTATATTGGGTAGGTCGGTTATGATCCCAAAACTTGTTATAATAGCTTTATGATGAGGGTGTCTTATTGGGCTCACTGGCACAATCTTTCAGATCATCTGAGCTCCATCCTCTATGTGCACCTACCTGTTATAGTGGAGTCGTAAATGCTTCTGGCCTTTTTGTGGGTGGAGTTAAATCTTCAGGCTGCCTGACTCTAAGGATAAACCTTGATCACTGTGTATGGATCACTGTGGAAAAGCTATTTCCCCAAGGTAGAGTTGTTTACAGTAGGGTCTGGTGCTTGCTGGAATCCCTCTTTGTGTGCTGTTTGTGTGTCTAGTTGGGTTGAGCTCATTTGTATTCCAAAATGTACAACTGGTTGTATTGGTTCTGGGAATACTAGGGTGGGTTTAGGTACAGGTCAGTGTCAGACATTTAGTGTAATCAGCCTTGGTTCTTTTTTTTTAAATTAATTTTATTTAGTTATTTTTCAAGTACAGTTTTTTGTCTATTTCTCCCATCCCAGCCTCCCCCGCCCCTTGCTCCCCACCTCCCTCCCATTTCCACCCCCCTTAGTTCTCGTCCCTGTGTCCTTCCTATTTGTTCCTCCAAATCCCTCCCCTTTTTTCCCCTTAACTTCCCTTCCTTCTCCCCCCGGTCACTGTCCCCTTGTTCTCTATTTCAGTGTCTTTGGGTTTTTTTTTTCTGCTTACTTGTTTGTTTTGTTGTTTAGCTTCCTGTTAAAGGTGAGATCATATGGTATTTGTCTTTCAGCACCTGGCCTATTTCACTCAGCATAATGCTTTCCAGTTCCATCCATGTTGTTGCAAAAGGTAGTAGCTCCTTCTTTCTCTCTGCAGCATAGAATTCCATTGTGTACAATCAGCCTTGGTTCTTTATAAAGATGCAACCCTTGTATAAAGATACAATCTTTATACAAGAATTGTTTTTCTCCAGCTTAGAGCTGCAGACACATCTGTAAAAGGTATAAGGCTCCCTGACATTTGCTTCCCACTATCAGCTACTCAACCTCCCCCTGAGGTTGCCTAATCTTCCTCCAGAGCCCTCTGAAGTTAGACTGTAGGGTGGACCCAAGCTGGCTAGGTTGATAGCTTGGTAGGGTGGGACAGGTGGGGTCAGAAGTATGTGGCTAGTGCATTCCCTACTTGGGGGCTGCATGGTTAGGCGCTAGTTGAGAGAAAAGTAGCCCTTTCTCCAGAGCCAAACCACTCAGTCTTGGCCAGAGTTTCCAACTCCAGTTCCCCGAGGAGCAGCACGCCACAGGTTCAGGTTGTGTGCAGCCAGCCAGCCCCTCTGCAGGAGCAAGCCCAGCAGGGTGAAACCACTGAGGCTCATCGGGAATAGATCCAATCTCACACTGGAGTTGATGCCTGTTGTTCCTGCAGGTGTGGGGAAAGCACTCTGAACTGGTCCTGGACAGTAGCCTCCAAGGGAGACACATCTGAATGTTCCTGCTCTAAATAGCTCTCCCTTCCTCCTGCACAACTGATCTCTGTGGGGGCCGGGCTACCAGGACTTGATGGCACAAATTCAAACATCTCCCATTAGGGGGGAGAGGACAAGCCTATAGGATGGGGTCAGGCACTTTTCCTCTCCTTGGGATAGAATGGGCTGAGCTCACAGGGGAGATTGAAGTGGCCCCCACCATCCTCTGTGATGTAGACACACTACCCAGCACCTGCTGTCTGATTCCTGGACAAAAGCCTCCCCAGAGAGGGCACTCTGAAAGTCCCAGTTCTGTACAGCACTCTGATTCCTCCTACTTGTCTGAACTCGGCAGGGTGGGGCCATAGAGTGGCAAGGCAGGCCACGTGATTCAGCAGGTAGGGTGGGGGGGCACTCATTGTTCACAGGTGGGGAAGAATGTCTCCCTTTCCAAAGCTACACAGTTCAATTGCTGTCTAAGTTTCCCTAAGAACTTCCCCAGAAAAGAATACCCAAAATTCCCTATTGGGTGTGGCCAGCAGACCCCTCTGCAGGACCCAAGTGCAGCAGAGTGGTGTTACCAGAAGATGGAAAACTAGGCAGTGCATTCACTAAGCTGGTGTTGTTACAATAGGAGTGCTTGTCTCTGGGAAGGTAGTTTCTGGGACTCTAGCAGAATCTCCTTTTTTGCAAGTGGACTGAATCCTCACTGATTTTTCACCATCAGATGTTATGCAAGCTCCTTTACCCACCTCTGTTTCTCTGGGTTGGGGGTCCCTGTATGGGGTTGAGACCCCACACTCTGGAGGAAGGGAGTTTTGCAGCTGAGATACAATCTCCAGCTTTTCAACCAAGCTTCTCAGTGGTTGCTGGGGCATGTTCTTTCTGCATTTCCTTCCACCCTTCTTAGCAATCTCTATATGGCTTCTTCTGTAAATCTTTGGTTGTAAAATTTCAGTTCGGCTAGGCTTCAGTTAGTTATTTGGGTTGCTCTATAATTTAGCTGTAAATTTGATTTGGTACTGGGAACAGGTGAGTGTAGCTTCCATCTTAGAAACTACTCTACTCTGCAACCATCTTAGAAACTCTCTATATTATATATTTAAGTATATGTTGAATTGAACGTAACTTCTTACATAGTGGACACACAAATATTGTGTTTTCTACTCAAAGACGTTGGAATCTACTTAGTGTTCTAAACTTTTGCACTATATTAATTTTTAACTACTATCATATACACAATGAGAAGAGTAATATATTGGCTATTAACATATTTTAAAGTAAGCATATTTTAGAGCAGCAGAGTATATTTTATAACTCTTAATCTTCTACCTACATGTTTTATCACCCTATGAATAATAAAATTGAAGAAATAAAAAAACAATTAATTGGCTTTTGTTCTTGCTGGCTAATACCTGTGCGTTTAGCTGTTCTCTGAAATTCTGTTTGAATTAATGTTGTTATTTTATCTGCGCAACTGATATCTAGTATAAAATCAATAAAAGTGTTAAAAGTGGTAGAGGTGCTAGACTCACATCTTATATCGTTTAAAGTTTTAAGAAAATCTTTCAAGTGTCCTAAAGCCACACATGGAAGAATAACTCATTGAACCTCTTTTCCTCTTTAGACTCAAGCCTCAACTTGGAAGGAGCTGGAGCTTCTGCCTCAGGATCTGAATTCATTCCCATTGTTTTACTCAACAGAGTTCTGGGATCCTGGCTCCCTTGTTGTTATGACTGAAAATACAGGTTTTTACCTGTTCCCATTTTTAGTAAGAGTACTTATTTTTCTTCCTGAATATTTAAAAAGTTTAGGCTTGCTTCATCTTGCAAATGTTAATCTAGAGCAAACAGGATTTGAATATAAAAACAGATTTATGATTTGGAGAGTGTGAGCTTGGTTTTGGTTATTCTGTAAGAAGAGTTAGAAGTCTTCTGATGTAAGGACATGAGTGTAAGTCATAAGGCAAGAGAGTGAATGAAAGGAGAAAAAAACAGCTTAAACCATCCCCACTCCAAATACTTTAAAGCACAGAGTTTAACAAGGTGGTGACTTAAAAATTAACATTTAACTTGTATAAAATTTTAGCTCTAAAATTGACTAATCAGTATAGTCAGGTATAAAATTTTATACTCTAAAATTAACTAACCAATATGGTTGGGTATTCTTAATGCTGATAAAAATAAAGATTCTGGGTTTTTAAAAACGGATGTGTCATGGAAGTGTGTGCTTGAAACCTATATGATCCTGTTGACTAGTGTCACCCCAATAAATTTAATTAAAAAGCAGATTTTCTTATTTTAATATGTGTTTCCCATGCTATAGAGAATATGATACAGCACTACTTAACTTTGAAAAAATTAGAGATAATAAAATAATGTTCCAATCTATAGCAGCCCAATTTTTGTAGGACCTGGATGTCTATAGAAACTAGAAGACAATACGGAGAGAGAGCTGGAGAGGCTGTTTTTATAACCACTCCCATTTTTGGCTCTCAAATTAAATCATAAGGATTGTTAGAAAAAATAAATATTTTTTGCAAAACTTTAACATGCATGTGTTTATATATATCACAAGATCAGAAAGTTACTATTGTCTTAATCAGTACTTAGGACTGAGACAACTGGGGTGGGCTTTATGGTTTCTGAAATTACCAGTTATTCTAGATAATAGGATAAATGCTGTAAAAAATGATGCCCTTCAACTGAACCATGCAAATGTATTAGTATTATTTGATACAAATTATTTTGGTCCCACTTACTTATGTATATGTTGATTAGTTTTCCATGGTAATTTCACATTATTTCTTAAGATATCTGAAAACTTTTTCTTTATGATCATGCTCTTATACTTCCGATTTGGTGACATTTTTATTTTAGCTAAAACATGGACATTTCCCTAATTTGAAATGAGTTAATGTGAGCACAGATCCTAATCAGATCCAAAATTTTAAGTGCTCATAAAAATCTGAAATTCTGCAACAACACTAAATACCCATATGCAGAAAAAAGAAAAACCAATTTACGTATTTGTGGCACTTGCAGTGAACTTTCACAGCCATTTCTGCCGGGATTGTTTGTTAAGCATTCTACCATATTAATGTAGTTTTGGAAGAAAATGAAAAAGTGAAGTTTAAATGTCACATTCAAAGTACTATGAGTATAAGAAACATAATCCCAGAGCCAAAAATCACCAATAAAAACAAATTATACTACTTATGTAAACACTGCCCCTTAGGACAAGGAGGTGATGGGTTTTGGTGCAAAGGAAAAATGTATGCCATTAGGAAGTGAAGGTTCCTAATAGTCTTATGGTAGGCATTTGAAGAGGTTTTAAGTCTTTATTCAGAATGAATTGGGAACATTCTAGAGATGTCCTTCATTTATTTATTCAACAAATGATGGTCTCTGTTGGAACACTGAGCTACTGGCAACTCCTGATACCAATTGTCTTATAAATAAGCCCTTATATATGCTACTATTTATCCTCCTTAGAAAGCTTTCTCTCCGATCTTTCTGTAGTAGACTAGCCAGTCCATCACAAATAAACTTGGAATCTCCTTTGGGTCTTTTCTGATCCTTCAATCCTGGGTCAGTTCGCTCTTTCATGAGCTCCCATAACACCTTATACCTAGTGTTAAAATACAGATACAAGGACATAGATCCCCTACATCACCAATATGAAATCTCCCAATATGACTGGGCCAGCTCTTGTGACTGCAGAGCTCTTCTCCATACAGGATTAATTGTTCCATTATGTTAGACCAGGGGTCATTCTTAAGCACACTTTAAGCATTCCTAGGAAAATTTTTCTGCCAGCTGTTTACAAACCAGCTGACAGCAATGAATTGATACTCCATACAGGAAGCGTATAGTTCGTTACAATCATGAGTAGATAAATAGATTAGAATTTAATATTAATATTCAAATTTGTTGCAAATTGTTGAGCAAAAATATGCAGTGTTCTCATTGTGAGTGGAGGCTATAAGGGAATAATAAAATGGAACTCTCTTACTAAGCCTGGCAGTGATCTCTGGTATCGAGCCGCTAGGCAGAGTAATTCCATAATTCTAAGACATTAAAAAAATGTAGTTGATATATATGTAAAGTCAGTAAATTATATCCATGACTCCCCTGAGCCTCCTGCTTCTAGAATGTTCTGGAAGGAAACACAAGTGAGGTGGAGCCCAGTGAATGCAGAAACAGAACACTGATCTATCTAGAGACAGAGTTTTATTTCTGAGGCTCTAATGACTGTCGATGCTCTTTCTCAGCCTTCTTAAGTTTGTAGCATGGTCAGTTCAACTATAGCAGGTGCTTTGTGGGCATTATTATGTAGTAGCCAGTGCAGTAATATAATGTAAATTAATGTTGAGTCCTCAGAGGATGAAAAGCTACAAAAATTCAAGGTATTTCTAGAATTACCTGGCCTAATGGTAAACTGAGACCATGCAGCTGTCTCTCAGTATTTATTCTCAGGGAATTAATATGCTATCTTAAACTAAAGAAACAGAGAAAAGGTAGAGCACTCAGCACATGTTTCTGGGGAGTGACTTAAAAAAAGAATATAATGAATTTAGAGAAAAATTCACTGTTTAATATAAATATTTTTATTTAAGCTCAGTTGTTTTACAAAATTACCTTTCTTGTTGAGGTCTGTGTAAAAATCCTTCTATTTTTCTTATTAATTAGCAGTCTAAAGTTAAAACGAGTGCATAGTTTTTTGGAGACAAGTATATTATTTTGTGCTTCCTCCACTTTATTCTTCTCTAAAAGCCAAAGTCCTTCAACAGATGTTATTCAGATTTCCCCAAAATGTAAATAAGTGACCCCTGGAGAAACAGAAAATTGTAACGTGGAAATTTTCAAGAAAAATACATTGTTTTTCAGAAATTTATACCTAGAGAAAAATGGGAGTTATAAAGAAAATATTTATGCAACCTTAACCACAACTTTCTCTTCCTAATAATACTTTAACCATTCTGCTTTATTCATTTGCAAATTTTGCTTTTGTAACTTTGGTCATCAGAAACCACAATATGTGCTCATTTGTTTCTGACTTGAAACTCTGCTTTACTTTGTATTTAAAAAAATGAAATCTCTTTCTTCACACTTTATTTCTAATATCAATATTTCTCAAAATTTTAAAGTGTTTTGCAACTACACACCTAGGGAACAATTATAATTATTGTTTCAAAAGATTATTTGAGCTCAAACTACTTTAATATTTGGCAGTGAATTTTAAAATCTATCAATTCCTTAAAAAAACTTATATTTTATTTTCTCAACTTTGAACATGTAATTTTAAACTTTAGTGCAAATGATATACTCTATAACCTGTGAAAGACAAAAGCTTGTAAAAGATTTTAAGGAAAATAGGAAGACAAGTAGTATTATACAGAAACAGAGTAGTACTGAGGAAACATTTGGCTAATTTGTACCAAAATGATTCAGATTTGAATTAACATGTGTCTGGCCTACCTATTATCACTGAATGTCAATTCATAAGGAAACAAAGGTAGTGGGTTATAATAAGAAACAGAAATTCAGAAAAACTAGCTCCTGAAATCATGAATTGGTCACTCTATTTTTCCTCTGCTTTCAAAATGTGTTCTGGGACAATTATAAAGTATGTGCTAGGGAGGTAAAGTTGGAGGGATGGTAGGGAAGTTAAAGAAAGAGGTAGATATACAAGAAAGGGAGGAACTAGCACAAATAAAAAACATGAGCAAACCAGTTTTAGATCAAACTGATTGTTCTGGGTCTCATTGACCTTGGCAATACTCAAAGGGTCATATTTTATATAGATGAACTGTCTTCAATTTCTTCTGCATCTCTGGAACATGCAAATGTTTTTTGTCGATGCTTTATTACTACATTCCTTATATTCCTCAAAGTTTTATTATATTAAAATGTTTCTTGGTATATTTATTTGAATCCATCTTGACATTGTATTTTTCATTCTTTAAAAAAACATTTTTTTTGTTTTCCCTGAACTTTTGAACCTCTGGTTTCTAGTATGATACTGAAGCTTTCCTGACATATCCCCCAACTCCACTATATTTTAGAAGTATAACAACATAATTAATTGAGTTTATGAGACATATGAAATCATTCTCTTTAAAAATCACTATTAACTATGATGAAGCACCCTCCATGCAATTTTATTGGTATATTCTAGTTTGGGGAGGTCATTCTGCTGGGTTAGTCCACATCTGTACCAGGAAAATATTGTAAGTGATGTCATTTTTTGACCCCATTTTCCCATTCTTTGAGAGTTTTCTTAGTTTAGAAAAATACTCTCAGATGTAGTTAAAGGTAAAGCAAGAAGATGGAAACACATTCTGCTTAGAACTTTTCTCAAGTAATTACAGATGAGAGATTAGTCAGCTCTTTAGCAAGTTCAAATGTCCATAAGCACTCTGACCACCAGCTGTGCTGTCCCAGGAGCTTTAAGTGACATCATTTTGGGTGAGAGATTCTACTTACTTAACCTTCATGCTGCATATGATGATAGCACTTTGTCTCACAGTAAATCCTCCAAGATGCAACATATGTTTTCTAATGAGCTTGGACAACTGCTTTTAATATAGTTAAGATCCTTGGCATGAAGACAAGAATTAGTCAAGACTCATTGAGCTGCAAGTAAGAGAAAACTCTAACAATTAAGAAATTTATTATTTCAGCTTTGGCTGGTGTAGCTCAGTGGATTGAGCATGGGCCTGCAAAGTAGATGATCGCAGTTTGATTCCCAGTCAGGGCACATGCCTGGGTTGGAGGCCAGTTCCCAGCAGGGGCCAGTTCCCAGCAGGGATGCACCAAACAAAAAAAAAGCAACCATACATTGATGTTTCTCTCCTTCTCTCCTTCCCTTCCCCTCTAAAAATAAATGAATAAAATAAAAAAAAAAGAAATTTTTGATTTCACACACACACAAAAAAACCTAAGTCCAGAAATAAACAGGTTTCAGGTTGGTTGATTTAACAGCTCTTGGGTGTCTTAAGAACTGAATTTATTTCATCCCTTTCTTCTGCTTTTTATGTTGGCCTCATCCTCAGGCTCTGAGAACAAGAAGGTTGCAGATCTTCCAGGTATTACTTCTAGACCAAGGTTGTCCAAAGGTGGGAAGTGGGCCATCTAGTTCCTGAGTCCATTTCCTAGAAGAATGAAAATATTTCTTAGAAGCCTCCCAGAAGGGTTCCTTTTACAGTATATTAGTCAAAAATGAGTCATTTGCCTAGCTGAACCACTGGCATGGTGAATATGACTGTTATTATCGACTTCAACCCATTACCATTTATACCTAGATTTAGGTAGAGGGTAAATAAACATACCCATATTGGTTATCATTTAAACTAAATATGGGTTCTGCCTTCTGAGAAGAAATGAAAAGTTAGACAACCAGAGGTGTCTGCTATACACTCAAACCATTTTGAGGAAAATTTCAAGGAGAAATTAGTTTTATAAATCCAAAAATTCAGTCCACAGGAGGAATATTGTATTCAAAGATAACAATTCAATCCTATTTTTGTCTATGTTACTTATTAGAATAATCATGTTTTACAAGTACCCATTGGGATTTTGGCATTATTGTATATGAAACAATTCAATGCCAATTAAAAATGACATATATGAATAGTAAAGAAGCTACGTGCCTGTCATTTATACAACCAGGCTTATTTCTCATAAAATTTCTATGGCATAGATATTAAGCTCTTTTCCATGCAGACAAATCAAGGCCTAGGGAAGATAAAGTCTTAAAGAAGGTCAAATGACAGGTAGGAATTCAGATTCCATTTCCAGGTATTTTGAAGGTCTTAATGGAAATGAGTTAATGATATCTGGAGTTCAAGTTTTTAATATAACATTTGGGGGGATACCCAAAACAGGATTTATTTATAAAAAAAACTGGGTATTGATTCTTACAGGTTTAAACTTCAGTTACCTTCAAAGTATTCTCCATTTGATGCAATACACCTATGGAAACATTTTTTCACTGCTCAAAGCAGTTTTTGAATTCATCAATTTTGATGCCTTTTAGTGCTTCTGCCATTTTTAATTTAACTTCTTCCATGTTGGCAAAACATTAATCCAGGGAAATAAAAAAAAAGTCACTTGGGGTGAGATTGGGTGAATAGGGAGGATGAAGCACAGTTGTCAAAAACTCAGTTTTCAAAGTGCAGTGTGGGCAGGTGCACTTGTAAATCACTAATCATGAAATGGGAAAACACATTGAAAGAGTCTTAAAAAATTCACTGAAGTTGAATGAAACCTCTCACAACAACACCAGCTAGGACACTGAAACAGATGGGTTTCTAGAGCACTCACCTAGTGGGGGAAGCCTGTACTACATGGGGCTGTCCCTCCAGAAGGTAATTCTCTTTTTAGGGGGTATCCCTCATATACTGTTCTTAAATTGAATTCTTAAAAAAAGATTTCTCTAATCTGCTTTATCAATCAGTTAAAATTAGTCAGCAATAG